TTTGTGTGTGTGTGTGTGTGTGTGTGTGTGTGTGTGTGTGTGTGTGTGTCAAAATAGAACGCAAAAGAGTGGCAAGGGCAGACTGAGAACAACAACTTTTTCTTAAAACATGAACTGATAGATAATGTGGTAGGCCAGGATGATAACGTTTTTTGAGAGGATCCGGGAGCAGAAATGAATGGCAGTTCATAATTAATCGCCTACGTTTGTTTCAGATCTGGCACTCTATGATGATGGTGGGCTGAGGTAATGAAATGTAAGGCTTTAGATTAGATCTTTAAAAAAATATATATTGTGAGCCAAAGCATGTTTTAAGTTGTCGGTAGGTAATTAAAGACACACTATACATTTATTCACTTTTTCAGGTTGCTCTTACAGATTCACGACGAGCTGCTGTGGGAGCTCCCCGAGGACCAGATTGAGGAGACCAAAGGTAATTCTACACAGCCCGTAAGGCGACAAGAGTGGGTGGTTGGCGGGTGCTCTGGTGTGGTTTGCTACTACTTGCCTATCAAACGTCTATCGTCCTTATCTCCCCTCTTTCCTATTTGGCACATATTATAATCTAAGTGTGTTGCAAGTGCCGTAAAACGTTTACTAAAACTAAAAAGACAACAGATGTAAGTATGCATGTAAGACAGATCTGTGAGCATTTCATGACCTTCTGTTTTAGTTTTTATTAATAACCCGTGGACACTTTAGTGTTACCATAGTTACTGTTTTGCTGGTTGGTTTCGATTTTAATGAGCCGACTGGCACCCTATAGCTATAGCCTATGGCTACACATCCTGAAAAAGTAAGCCTCCTTTAATCTGAAGCATTTTTGTATTACCTACAGTGATTCAATTGTTGTCATACTGCTGTTTTAGTTTCGTTTGAGTAACTCCCTCAGTAAAGAGATACACATTGATGTAATAACGTTCTTTTAGAGCATACAAAAGTAAAACAGACAAAACGTTAAAGGAAAAGAAAAGAAGTACTTACCGGAGGTACCCTCCAATCACTCGCACGTTTTATTTCATGTACTTGCATTGCATAATAATTTAAACTCTTGTGGGGTATCCCATAAATTACTTATTTAAACTATTGAAATGAACACACACGCACGCACACGCACATACACACACACACACACACACACACATACACAAAATAAAATGACCCCCCCCAAAAAAAAAAAAAAAAAACAACCCCAACCCAGCAACATCAACAACAACAAAAACCCAACAACATTCCTTCAAAAAAATAATCAATAACTAAATAATTAAATAAATTATTTTTTAAAATACAAACCAACAAACAAAGAAGTAACAACAACATCACAAAAACTCAACACAACATGTCACGCTGCAGCAAGTCTCACTTGGTCGCTTTTAAGGACAAGTGGGCTAACCTAGATTTCGGGGGTTCACAGAAATCTTGACGAACACTAAAAGTGGGCATTGCCCTACCTATAGGAGAAGTTTGGTTTCGTTGATGTGTATAATTTGTTTGGTTAAAGAGAAAAACTCTCCTTGTCTTTTAAAGAAACTGAACAATGGGCAAAAAACTTTACCTTCGATTTTCTCAAAACAGCATTTTTCGGGATAGCCCCCTTGTGCTTAAAAGCGACCAATTACCCTCATCCATCACGTTCCTCAGGCCTCATTCAGAGAGTGATGGAAGACCCCCGAGCTGTGTGCGGGGATCTGTGCAGCCTCCAGGTACCCCTGCCGGTCTCCCTGAGTGTCGGCAAGTCCTGGGCGCACCTCACACCTGTCCAGTCCCACCCACCGCCCGCTCCACTCTGAAGGCACAGCCGGGCATCATTGGTGATGGAGAGAAATATCTGAACAAACATAGCCCATAAGTTTGTGAAATAAAGGCTTTCCTCGCTTCAATATTCTGCTTCCTTTTCTTCTACTTCTACGTACAGCTACAGTTGATAAAGTAAAGTCAAACAAACAAACAAACAAAAAACAACCCAAAACAAACAAACAAACAAGCAAACAAAAAATGCATTATAGAAATTAAAGTATTACGGCTCACTGCTTTATTTGAAATAATTAACACGTACAATGGTGTCCACTTAAACTAAGTTAAACAGAAATCTGCGAGATCGGTTTTTCTTTGGTTTAGCTGAGTAGAGAAGTTGCTCAAATAGAAAAAAAATCGGGGATTTTCTTTCCTTTTACCGTTGTTTTCGGATTAATACAGCTCACTTCTGAGGACTCCATCGTATAGATTATATATATATATATATATATATATATATATATATATATATATATATATATATATATATATATATATATATATATATATATATATATATATAAAATACTCTTTAACATTTTTTACTTCATATCTCATATTAAAGGCAATATCTTGATTAATACTTAACGATTCTGTCTGAAATTTTCAGATAAGACAGTGCATTCATTTTGCAGCAAGGGAAACATGCGGGATGCAAAGTTAATAATTTATAAAATTTTCAATTTTGAACTTATAGTTGTCAGTGGTCAAAATGAAAAGTGACAGCTTTCAGTTACGTCTGATGACATTTGGCGTTGTCACATCCTCACATCGTCGACGCATGGACGGGGTGAATCGAGGTGTTGTCTATTGAGGAATAATATTACACTTTTCAATTAAGGCTTAATCTAACTGAGCAAGGGGTACGGGGCTAACGTGGTGTAACGGTGCTGCACGAATGTCGCGATCTAAAATGCATCATCACACGCGACGCTGTGCCCAGTGAAGTCTGTGCTGGATGCGATGGGGCTGCAGTTTTATGCGACAAACTAGGCCCCTAGCACGGAGGTTCTTATATTTCAAACGAGAAGAACAGTCATGACGAAGATCCGACTGCCATTCTAAGTCTTTTCGACTCATCCTGAGCCTTTGTTCGCCGGTTGAAATTGATTTCTCAAGCGTTGCGTTAGGATGAATGAGTCCACCCTCCGTTTTGTCTTTCTGCGTTCTACTTGCTTGAGTCTGTCCTTTTGAGAGCCTACCGTTGCAACAATATGGTCCCATGTGGCATACACAGTGTGTTTCTTCACGTTGAACTTTCTCGCGACTAATGATAGTATTGATAGCGGGGTGTCCACTTGAAGCATTTCAAAGATGTGATTTCTTTCTGATTCATTCAGCCGAAGCATGGAGAATCGAAAAAGAGAAGCCACTTTTTTATGTGGCGAAAAACTTGGAAGGAGTCCAACTTTGCGGATGTATTTTTTGCTTTCAAAGTTACCCACACATTTTCACAATATTTTACAAAATATCAAAACCGCGTGAATGGCACCGTCAAATAAAACGACAAACCAGTGCATCCTAGTGAGTACAGTTCACGAACGACAATAAACTTGCGTGACATGTGTAAAAATTTCAAAGTACATGTAATTTTATATGTAGTTTTTTAGCTATACGCTTTGAAAATGTGTGAAGTTAAAAATGTTAATGAGTATATATATATAGATCTCTCTCTCTCTCTCTCCCTCTCTCTCTCTCTCTCTCTGTGTGTGTGTGTGTGTGTGTGTGTGTGTGTGTGTGTGTGTGTGTGTGTGTGTGTGTACGAAAAAAAAGTCCTCGAGAATACCGGTGGCCACAGCTATATCATAGCAGGTTCGATAATGTTCGAAGGGAAATGCGTATCTTGTATACATGAACAAGGAGTAGGAGCCAAAAAACATGCGTCTTGGTTTGCAGCAAAGACTGTTCCATAATAATTTCTATTTGAAAATTGAAGCAAAAATATCAGCAGCGATGACATCACGATAAAAGTGAGCGAGAATTGTTGAGGACGCCTTTAGAGAATAAACTAAATATAAAATGAAGAATGTTGTACGCACCCATTGACACAATTTAGATCATAATATAGGAGGCGGCACTGTTTGTGGACCAATCCGGGCCGAGAGAGACGCAAGATCCCAGCAAAAAGACCGAGGAGAGTGAACTACATCAAGTACGTATTCCGTAGTTTAACACCCTTGATTTAGAACAGTAGATACTGGATGTCGATGGTTTGGTAATCCCAAGATGCAAAAAACAAAATCAAACCCCAAACAAATAAACAGGGCAATTGGTCGCTTTTTAATTTTAAGGACAAACGGGCTAACCCAGATGTCGGGGGTTTCCAGAAATCTTGACCTACACCAAAAGAGGGCATTGTTCTACCTATAGGAGAAGTTTGGTTTTATTTGAGTGTATATTTTTTTGATTAAAGAGAAAACTCTCCTTGTCTTTTAAAGAAACCGAACAAGGGGCAAAAACTTTACCTTCGATTTTCTCAAAAACAGCATTTTTCGGGACAGCCCCCTTGTGCTTAAAGAAGCGACCAATTATTGGGCACGGTCGTGGGCGTGCAGGAGGAGCAGTGCCTTTATTTACAAACAATGCACATCTTCCGTGTCATCTGAATGATAATGATGGTTTTCCAATCATTTCTGTCATCTTAATGATAATGTTGGTTTTCCAACCATTCTCCAAATGAAAATGAAGCATTAATTATGATAAAAGTTATATAACATTTCTCAAGCTTCAATTCCAGGTTACATGCTTTCTGACTACGGGCCATTTATGATCCCTCCATTATGAGTATTGTTTTTTTAGTAAGCGTTTTACGGCACTTGCAACACAATAAGGACATATAAGTGCCAAAGATTAAAGGTGTTACATGAGAGTAATTAACACAAAAAGAGGAGGAATGATTTAATATTAGGGCGACAGAATAATGTTTGATAGGAAAGAAGAAGCAAATCACACCAGAGCACCCGCCAAACCACCCACCATTATGAGTATGAGGCCGGGCTATTTTGACCTTTTCCTTTTAGCACTAGGAAAAACATCCCAAAGTGGAAATCGACGTCGCGTCTTCTGCGTATGATGGTGAAGAAATTAACCAGTACACTACAGACACTGGTCTTTTTATCTCGTTCTGTAACCTTACAAAGAAGAAAACTACTACTAGTACATCCGAGGTGAGTTACAGTTTATTGCCCGAACCTTCTCTTAGCTCTGGGCATTTTGTGGCAAACGTGAAAAAAATAGTTCTCTTGTCTTGTCTCTGGACCAGCTGGACACGTGACGAACGGGGTTATGCTGTCATTACACACATGGGATTCTGTTTATAAGATTGTTATTCATAAATATATAATATTTTTTGTTTTTCAAGATATTATATCAGTCTAGATCAAACAGATTCACACTTTCTTATCACTACTAACGTCTAGCAGCCAACATGTAAATTAGATCTTTTCTCAGATATTGCAGTTTAAAATGATACATTTCGACAGAGAAACACACAAAAGAGTAACTAGAAAGACAATTCGATTGGTAAACATTTGCATTTATTTTCATATTATGAAAACATTTATATTTTTTCAAATTCAGTCAGACATGCTGTATTCTGACCTGTAACACAGACACATGTATCACTTTTCAGCATACCAAAATTCAGAACACGTTGAGCTGGAGCTATTGTTTTAACAGGAAATGGAAACAGCTGGAGCAAAGCATGAGTTGTGTATAACATTCGCAAGAGCGTCCCACAATTTGACAACTTTTAATTAATAATAGTCTATACTAAGAGCAGCAGTACAGATGAGTAAGCTATGATGTGCTATAATTTCTTCACTTTCTACACAGCCCCTTGTTTGTGTTTAACATTGAATGGCTCTTTAAAGCCTATTGCAAGCTTTTTTAAAATTAAAAAACCACGACAAATAAAACCAGAAGTAGTTTAGAGTTTAGAGGAGAGACATTACAAGTTACGACTGTTATGACACTGAATTGACACTACACTTCAACAACAGGAGCTCGACAACAAGTGAACACTCTTCTACTTAAAGCACTGTTTCTAAATGTATGGTAGACTACAAGTATCAATAAGAATGAAGAACTAGTAATGCTTGAGAAAGTAATCTTAAGCACCGTCAAAGAAGCAGATTCGTTTCGAAGTCAACAAACATGGACACGTTTGCAGTGCATAACATTACATCGAAAGTGAAGTTTGGACATCAAACTCTAATAGCCACGTTCAATTCCATGTACATAAATGATTACAATTACATAAGTAAAAGGAACATACAGAAGGAAGACGTTCTTTACCTTGGCTGCTTTTAAAACACACTGAGTGCTCTTCTCTCAAGCGAACCATTTCTAGAAATTGTTACCTTTGTTTCATTCAAGTCTTTTAAATATTTTTCATTTAAGTTTAAGCATAGACCCTAACGTAATTCAAAAATGGAAAACCGCACTGATAAAACTTGAACTCAACAGAACAACCATTCTTTGCGCAATGAAAATTATACTAACCTAAGATCACAGTATTTTCAAAGAGTTTAAAAACAGCTATCACTTACAAAAAATCAACAACAACAAAAAAACACCTACAGACAAACACAACATGCAAACAAAAAAATAATTAAAATAAACTTTAGGGTCTGAAAAAAATCACTCACGTTGAGCTAGATTAAACAGTAATATTAAAATGACTCTGCATGTCCGTCTTTCATTTGTATCCAGCAGTTTCAATCTACGCTTGTACAAAAGTGTAATCCTTTCCTTTGACAGCAACGGAAACCTCCATTATGTCATGGTATTACTGAATAGCTTGACTGGGTGATCTGTGATTTCATTTCAACAATAGGTCTGCATTTCTCAATTGCATGTAAATGTTATGCTTGCAAAAACCAGGAGTTTTCGTGTTTTTAAGTCTTAATGTTTGTTTCTTTGGGGGAGAGTGGGGGAGTTCAGAACATGTCATGTAGGTGAGGTATCCCACTAGCATTGCTAACAACGATTAGTAAACTCCTGTCTATAGACACAAACTGACGAGACCCAGATACCAACTTTTTTTACCACTGTCCTGCTGGCATTCAAACCACCACAAACATGTGCAGGAAAACTTGTTTTCAAAACAGACATGACTGGTTGGGCATATCATATTACATCAGAATGTTACTATTACCGCTTTAGTATAGAGACAAGCAAGTTTCCAGTGCTATTACTTTTTATTATCAAGATCAATCACACAGCCCTCCACAAAGCCAGACAGAAATGCCATATATAAATAAATTTTACTTTATTATTCTTATTTACATAACAATAATATTGCACTAAAAGCAAGACAGTAATCGATTGGTAGTAATAAATGTAAACTTTACGCACCGTCAATGCAGCATAAACATTCTTAATGCGGGTTATTTCCATCTTGTCTATAAGGGCTAACTAAGGCTGAGTGAGATATAGCATCCAAATAGAAACACAAACACGTTCAGGAAAATAATTTTTGGAGCAGGAATCGCCCAGCCATGAAACCGCTGACGCTGGTCGCCTACACATTAAATAACTATCAATATTGAGTAAGCCAGAGGAAAGTGGGAAGCAAGACTTTGTGATAAACAAACTTTGGGTAGGTTTTCTTTTCTCTTTCATATTTGAACAGACTGTAAGATTATCAGTGACAAAATCTTCGTGTGAATACTTTTATGTCCGCACTTTAAATTAAAAGAGTATAACATTTCTGGCAGTGTTCACAAGATAAAATTGACCCATAATCGTGGCATGATAGATAAGATTCAAAGAAAAGTATAGAATGTTTCTCGTGCAACTGACTGATCGGTACTGGTACTTGAAAGTTTGAGCCTCAGAAATCAAAACCTTAGCCGCACTATTCTGCAATATACTCCTTGACACCTGAGTGACTATTTGTCCTGTCGTCTTGCCCTGGTCTGTCTCAGGTTGTACTGCAAACAGAACCAGAATATTTCAGTGAGTAATCAACTGATTAGAATTATATTGATGTACTGTCCCAAGCCGCTGGGCAAGTGCATGTGCATCATGAGTATGTTGTGATAATGGAAATTAAAAATAATATAATCAACCACGCGGTCGATCATTTTTCCTCAGAACCCTCTCCTCTGTATTATGCAATGTATAAACATACATGTAACAGATTATTATTGTACACATACTCCAAAGTATAGAATAAGCGTCCCCACCCCCCTTATTTATGTTCAGTTTCTTTCTTTGCGCACCCCCCTCCCCCGCTCTTTATTCCATACCCATGTTTATTATTTTCCAGCTTGCCACAGCCGACAATCGTGTGAAGCATTATATCCAGAATCTAGATATCTGGATGAAACTTCTTTTTTTTTTTTTCTTTTTTTTTTTTTTAATGGGAAATTACCCTCAGTATTAGTACTGGTACCGGGTTGGCTACTTCAATTTTCTGTGCATTTTAAACCCTTTCGTACATTGGTTTATATTTTTCAACGAAACTGATTTGTTCCTAAATGGGAAAAGATGTCACAGTAACTTACTAAAATCACTAAAATTTCATGATCTCTCGTACTTTTATTCACTGAAGGAGTACAGGGGTATGAGTTGAATGTGCCACCCCCTCCCCCCACATAATTAATTTTGGACCACTTGTCCGCCCCCTTTTATTTCTACCCCCCCCCCTCCCTCTTCCATTTATTCGATACCTTAGAGTAAGTATATTATGTATACGTGAAAAACTTTGGTTATAATTTAGGCATTATCACCGTTTCTGTGATAAAGGAACAGTTAAAACACAGATGTACGCCTATTTGGCGGACTTGTTTTGATTTTAGCTAGTGAATGACAGCAAAACAAATGGTGGTCGATAAAGACAAAGGACACGAGAATATGAAGGATGTGGAAGAAGTACATCCTACCAAGAGCACTAGCAACATTTTATAGTCGCTTTTATACTTTAAAGGCACAGCCATGAGAAAAGAACACACGCCATTCCCTGTGTTGGGACACACAACCTCCATATAAAGGACTAGTCAGCACTGCAGAGAAATGAAAGTCTAAATAGCATTTTGGTTAGTAATACTTGTTTAGCATTTGGTGTTGAAGATGAAAGAAATCTGCCACAGGCGTGCAGCGTACTTGTGCTACTGACAACAATCCCAACTTCAAGGCAGCTGACACACAGTACAGTGATATTATTCTTGACCACTGGAGTTGTGTTGGGGGCAAAACAAAAGAAATCAGATTGTGACACACAACTAACTGCCTTAGTCAGACGACACAGAGAACTGATTAATCAGTTGGATAATTCATTTGAATTTTCAGTGGTACCCAAGAGATTGACACTTACAAAAACATTTTGGCATAAGCTTTTTTTAAAAAGGAAGATCTGTTAAGAAAAGAATTCTAGTAAATATCAAGGAAACATGAGCATATAAACAGGTCTACTCTTAGAAAGTTGATGGAATGAAGTAAAAAGTCAGTGTCAAGAAAACACCACGAGAATCATAAAGAAAAGTGAGTAAGAAAAAAGGAACATTGGACTGTCACAGGGGAGAAAAAATAAAGAAACAGGCGAATAAAAAATTTCATGACAGCTGAGCAGCATCAAGTCCACAGTCAGACAAATGATTAAACAATTGCTGAGAACACACTGACAGAATGAAGAGGGCCCCAGGAGCTGAAAATAAAAGGCATTAATAAAACATGCGTGAAAACAACTGAAACACTTCTATACTGTACAACAACGAGGGCACTGCTGCAGGGAAGAAAAACAAAAGCACTGAAGTAAAGCAACTGCAAGGAAAGGATTTCAGGAAGCACAAATGAGTAAAACCTCCTCTCATAAAAAGGACATGGAGAAGCCATAAAAATTTTGGTAGATCTTTTCCTTTTCTTGTACATTTCATATTTTAAATCACAAAAAGCTGGCTGTACTCAACACTGATTATAAGCACTAAGTTTGTACGTCCTCCATAATATGATATACTCTACAAATATACAAAAAAAGCAGAAAATGCAGCAGTAATGGAATAGGTGATGTTTGCATCGACACAGGTAAAGACATATCATAACAACTATAATGAAGAGAATGTAAACAGGCAGACATGGCAGAAAACACTAATAGTGTCAGCAGGTGAGCCAGAGAAATGAGGTATTCATGGTAATGAGTAAAACGTTTGAAATAACAATAATGATCATATTACCGGTCTACTCATTCAACATCTACAATAAATCACAACAAAACTGAAATAGATAATCATGACTAACAACATTTTGTAAAGGAAAATGTTTTCTGCCAGGAAGATAATTTACTTCACTTGCACCTCGTCATAGAGCTTTCAGCCATTGAACGGAAAATAACCGGGCTTAACTTATCTAAAAAGGTAACATGAACACATAAATCCACACAAACACAAATCCACGCACACACACACACATACACACACATGTACCTCTCACAATAAAACAACATATCCATTTTGATTATTTTTTATGATTTGCAAAGCAGGATTTAATTGCCTACACTCTATTTTATAAAAGTGTACATCTTGATATCCACACAGTTTTGAACAAATAAATATTTACTTACTTTTGTGAAACAACCATCACTTTCTATCTTTAATGACAGACAGTATTACTGTGGCAATGGTCCAAAAAACAACAACTGACCTTTGAAAAATGAAGTTTTCAAAAGAGTCTGACAACACTGGCACTAGTCCAGCTTAGACTTAGAAATATTACTCACAACAAATTGTTTGAATCTTTACAGTACAGTGAATTTATGATAAATATATTTCTCAAACCACATAAATCCAAGTCTTTGTACAGTTTGAGACTGAGACTGAGCATCAATCACGCCCAAAACAGAACCTTTTATTTCATACTGCTCATTTATTGCAGAATAAGGCCTCAAGCTCTCCCCCCTTCTTACTGGTCATTTGTTGACGAAGACTCTGCTTAATAGTTAAAGAGACTGCTCCTGGAACCGGTCAAATACATGTTTAACCCTATCCATACGCTGTGTTCAACTATCGTATCCATAAGGCGTGGGGAACTCTGTTCCAACACTTTCCAAAGAGGAAATTTACTCGTTAATCCGATCCATACACTTTGCATAGTTGTCTGTCAAAATGATTTTTTGAGAAATATTGAAAGTTTCAAAAAGATCTTCGCACTAGAAGTATTCTAAAACGTGAAACAACTCTGGGGGTACAAAATGACCCCAGGGCGCACGGATAGGGTTAAGAAAGTACAGTTTGAGAAATTGTGAGAAATGCTAATTTTAAGCAACTGCGGAAACAGCATCAAGGTCTTTCTGTTTTTTTGTGTCATTTAAGTCTGTTTTGTTATGCTTTTCGCCTGCACTGAATGTTTGGTCCATGTAGGTATCTTCTTTTTGCACAAACCGACACCATCAACAGTCAAGTGCTAGGTTCTCTGACAGCACATGTTCATGGGATTAGGGCTCACATTTTGTTCTGCAAAATTTGCAAACAGTTAATCATTTTCCATATCATCTGTATACTTTTTCCAGAAACTAAAACCTTAAAGGCTCAGTAGTATTTTCACAAGAACAAAGGCCTACTCTTCAACCATGTACCCAAAATATTTAGCTTAAGTTAAAGACTGTTCACTGGCATTGCTTTTCTTTTCAGTTGCATGCAGCTCTGAAAGTGAAGTAAATTAGCCTACTACACCAAATGATGATTATTCAACTAAGGTACAGATTCTGTTGTCTTTTCCATGTTTCTTATTTTTTTCCTCTTTGGCCTGGTGAACTTTTTGTTCTCCGCTCCTATCTCCTTCCATTTCTCCTTCTCCTCCTCCCCTTTGCAGTAAATGCTTGATGGCTTCAAAGCACATAATAATACAGGTATGGCGAAAAAACAGAACTGGTGAAGGTGCAGCAGCAGCAGAGGAACACTCATTGGCAGCTTGAGAAGGTTATTGAACAATGTACATTATATTCTATGAGAAAAGCTATACTAACTGTAGTAATACTGCATTCAAGTAACATCCATAGCTATATTGCATACATCATTGGACCTCAAATGTTATGTAGTAGAATACTGATAAGCAAAACTGAAAAGTTTGGGTCCCTTGAAATTATTTACGTCTCTATGGTGTATTGATTTATCACGTCTAACCCAAAAGTATTCATAAAGAAAAAGTTGTGATCAGGTTTCAATTATTTAAAATAGTTATATGGATATTATTCTCATGGTCATGTAGTGACTACACAAATCATTTCAAAGCCGAATGCTGCTGAAACAGATATTTACAGTAAGAATTAAGAATCTATCAGCTACTTGTGGAAACTTATTTTTCAACGACCATAAATTCCCTATGTAGAGCAAGAACATTTACAGGGTATAATAATGCAGTCGATAATTATGTTGGCAAGTAAATAAATTCTGGTATCCGAAAGTATGCATGTGTAAAACTATGCAGTCCATCTACCCATGGTCAAAAGTCTACACCCAATCAACTCTACACTGTCTGGCTTTCAAATCTTGCGTGAGACCATAATGTACACTGTTCAGCATGACAGACAAAATGCTGACTGCCTGATTAACCAAATCTTTCAAAATGAATACTCAACACTATGGAATGCATCTAAGTTGAATCTGTACAGTGGTATATTCTGATTTGGATTAGCTTTTCATCTGGGAACTTTTGCTATTGAAGGAAATCTCCCCAAAAACCAACACGGGGCAGTTCTTGATTACATCTTTTCCTTACACGGTCCCTCTGAAATTCAAAGGCATAACAAAATACGCTTTTTGCATGTACCAGTCCGACCATTTGTATCAACAAAATACAGCCTAGTACAGAGTAGGTCAACCTTGTAGTAATCAAATACTTATACTTGTGCTCTGCCATGTTTTGGTAACTCATCAATTTATGCTTATCCAGTAGTTATGACATCCTCACTGATTCTTGATAAACTTGCCAATAAAATTATACATTGACGATAAAATATCACAAGTCAATTTAAATCTTTCATCCAGTCTCACATCACTGTCAGACACAGGTCTCTGGTGTAAAACCTAGACGCACACTTTTCACTCTCCTCACCAGCATCCCGATGTCCGACATACACGGCACCCGGCTTGGAGTACCGTTTTTATTCCCCGTCACCTTCTGCTTCTCCGTGTGAGCGGACATTTTATGCAGAGACAGGTGGCTGGCCCCATGCCCCGATGGGTGGGATGATCGCAAGACTACGCTGATCTCACCCGAAGAGGAGCTGGATTCTTCGTCATCAACTTCAGTAGTGGACATGTCTTGATTCGGAGACGGCATCATGTGATTGATATACTTACTGATACCACATCCCAGAGCAGTGCCAAAGGGGTGGGAGGAAAAAATGAATAGCATTACGGCACTGAAAAAAAGACATAATGAAAAGACAAAAACTTTCTTCATTGGCAATCAACACCATTAAAGCAACCATGATCAACATCAATCAGGCAAAAACAGTCATATGACCGATATTCACAGCTTCACAACCATTTGTGGGGTGGGGCAGTGAAAGATTGACAATATACATGCAGACAACAGGAATTACATTGAAGGATATTGAGAATGTAAAAGATACGGGTGTTTTTCAGTCAAAAAGAACTCATTGGTCAAAGATCGCCACACAACAGAAAATGTTTTAATATATTGAAACGTTCATGCTTTTTGATGACTCATCCTCTCCATTTGAAGTCTACATAATAAACAGCTTCTCATCATGAAAGGTTGGATCCTTAGTAATGTCAATTTGAAACTAGATGAAGATCTATGTTCCTAAAATGTTGCCAGTATTCAGAGGTAAAATAATCACCTTGTTGCAGAGAACAGTCCTATCAACTTTGCACACAAGAAGCTCTTAGACACTGCTATACCAAATGGAATTGATCACCACATGTATTTGTAGGACACAAACAATACCATGCCCTTTGCTGCGGTCAGGAGCTCAGCATTTTCTGCAAGATTTTTACCACTAAAAAAAAAAAAGCCGCAAGTGACTTATTGTCTATAAGGTTATAGGGGGAAATCAAAGGCTCCTCATTCACATTTATATTTTTTCTCAGTACAAACATTTTTAATGTGAAAATACTGTAAACTAGACCAAAACAAGAGCCAAGAATTCTCAATCCTGAGTTGTATGAAAACCAGATTTCTTCAAACATCCATATTCCATTTCCCAATTTTCACCTCTTTCTTAACTTTGTGAAATGCTGGTCACAGTGTCATATGATAAGAATCAAGAAATATTGAAACAAGACATTGAACAGAATTGATTTTAACTAACTCATGCAATCAAAAGCAGAACACAAAAAAAAAGAGAATTGGCAGCACACAAAGAGGAACAAACGGTAACAAAATAAAAAAGAGAACAGAATAAATGAGAAGCAAGAACACAAATCGAAGACTTCAGGAGTAATGTACAGAAAGCAAAAGGGAGAAACTCAACATCTGGTTACAAAAGTAATAATTATTTATTCATCTGTCATTATAACATGATCAAACAGTTCCAAAAACAGTCATGAGGTTCAACAGATTTATGCGAGCACTCTTCCACATAGACCAAGGAATTCGCAAACAAAGCCTTGTATCATAAATATCCCTGCTGTTTTCCTCTATCATTGGATTTCTCTAGTATCTGAGTACACGTCATGCCATATAAACAGGTCACTCCAACAACATGTCAGAACAGAGAGATTTGAAAAGACAAAGTGTGGTATATTTGTCATAACCAAAGAGTTGCTAAGGAAAAGAAAACTGTGTTTTGGATATTAGAATTTCTAAAGTTTCTCGGGACTGAGATTGCACACGAAAGTCTAGACAATTTCATATCAAGGAAAACACAGTGATCATAACAAGCTTTAAAAAGTTGGTAACAGAAAAGAAAAACCTGCTCTAATGACTGCCACTCCAGGATGACTACACATACAAATGACCACTTTCCACTGTCCCTCTTGTGGTTTTTCTCTTTCTCTCTATAAACATACTCAATGATATTGTTCTAAAGGGCCACCTGCCTAAGATGACCACTTTTCTCTTCAACAATAGGCAGTTGTCTTGGACTTAAGGACCAGTTCGATAGCACCTTTTATCAGCACCCAATTTAGAAGTGATATCTTATCAATCCTGGAAGTGTCTAATTATTTGACAGTTTGTTAAAAATAATTTGCTTTCCATTGTACAGTAAGCACGATGTAACTTATATTTGTCCATGTTGGAGGGGTTGGCCACTCTGATGGGAGTGTCTCTGCAATACATTATGCTCCTTGTTTTGAAGGAAAACATTATCCAGGGATTTACAAAAAGTACCTACAAGTCTTTTACATGTCAGCTTGCACTGTGGTTTAAAAAAAATGAAAATAACTAGATGCCAACCATAATGACTCTTTAAGATGGTACTCTTGATCATACATTTTTTACAATTAATTTACAAACCAAAATAATAGCTTTTCATTTGATAATATAGCATTGGCATTGTGACGTCTTTTGATATCTTATAAACAAAATATCAATATGAACATAGGCACAACTCAAAATGAAAATCCTGAGTTAAGGCTTCAAGAGCTGAACACAACATTAAAACTAGGATCATAAAAAACCCAAATTGAACTCATTTCCTCTCGTCAATTATTAAAAAATTTACAAAGATTTCCCTAAATTGCCTTCCGCCTCCCAGTAGCAGGTGACCTATGTCTATCGACTAGAGCTATCTGTAATAACAGATGATGACTTACATTGCTGTCAAATAGCTACAATCAATCAAATTCAGAAAAAAAAACCCAACAACAACATAACTTCTTCAAAAAGATACGGTTCCATCATCTGTTTAGTTTCCTTTCAGTACTTTAAACAAAGGCTAAAAAAATATAAAAAAAACTTTAGAGAGACATTTTCTTAGTGGTACTGTTTGAGCCTTTGATAACAGCCACAGTTGACACAACAAACCCACATGGGCATCTCTGATATAATGGAAACACAGTTTCTAAATAAGCACCACAGCTAAGAAAAAAAAAAGTCAAATCAACCTTGCCCCCAATTTTGTTTTGTTTTGATGAAAGGTCTTTTTTCCCCAAATGTCAATTTGTGAAATGCTCATTAAAACTGTGTGCTGAAATTTGTTGGAAGCAAATCTAACATTTAAAAACAAGAAAACAACATTCATGTGTGCATATATCAAAAGAAATTAACGAATTCAAAACAAAAACTGAGAGGAAATAACCAATACAACATAGATAAAACATAAAAACAGACCTGCCACTCTATGAAATCTAAAAATCAACATCTCAGGGGGGAAAAATCGGGATCAACGACAAATCACCAGGGTGACTTCCAAGTTAACTTAAAAATTGTCCAGGGGTGTCCAAAAATATATTATCAATGTATGTGCCCTTTGAGTCTCTGTGTGTGTGTGTGTGTGTGTGTGTGTGTGTGTTTTATAATTATTTTTTTAAATCCTGAAGTATCACGCCAAGGAATCCTAGTCCTAGTCCAAGAGTCTAATCCAACCCCGCAAGTCTCGAAAGACGCTCTACCCAGTGTGCATGAAATTAAGCTGACCACATTGATGGATGGTCCCCGACACACACGAAACTCACATGCTGAAGTCATGTGAGGCGAACGCACAACTTAAAAAGTTTTACTGATGGGTCAGGATGACGGGCCTGATAACCAGAACCTGGACAAAGCTTGTTTTGAAAGTAACAGCAGAGTTATGAATAGAATTGATACTTTGTATGTCGCAATTGAAACAGTCATATCTTGAAAATGTCCCAGTCAGAATGCCAAATCGATACAACTACTTCCATTATAGTTGAAATAACATGTGTGAGTAAAGATCCAACACAATTTGGGGCGAGTAAACTACTAAATAGTGTTCTGAGTTCCTGCTGACAAAAAGTTTAAGGGGTGCTTCCTGCGACAGAGGAGAACGCAAAGTAAGTTTTTAGAAATATCAGGCGCAACAGACGCCACAAAAATCGGGATACACGTGATTGAAATCGGGAAAATCGGTATGCTTCAGATGTGAGGCAAAAAATCGGGATATCCCGATTAAATCGAGATGAGTGGCAGGTCTGTAAAAAGCATTTAAGAAAAAAAAATTACAGTTAACGACTCATAAAGAAATAGAATTACACAGCCTTTGTTCATGCAACAAATTAGAAACAAATTGTAATAAAATTGATCAAACTTGAAGATCGGTATGAGTTAGGTTAGAGTACATCTGACTGCCCCATAAAAGATTCCCACCCTTATGTCCAACAGTTTTAGTCTTGCAAGAGTTAGTTTTGTGCTTATAATAATTGTTCATTCACAAACTTTTTTTTGTGCAAAGGGCAACAGAGAAGAATATTGAAACAACAATAATAAAGTGCTTAGAAACAGGATGACAACAGATAAATATTAACAGACCTATAGGAAAGGAACAAAAAGCACTGGTGACAATTTCCTAATGACCTTCACATCTTTGTGCTTTGGAGAGACAAGTGACTTGCTGTTTACAACTGGCAGGAATAATGCCAAATGCACGCACACACAGATTTTTAAAAATGCTAGCTGCGGGCAGCATAAACAAAGAAATTAGCAAATCAGGTATTATACAGCACACGTAACAAAGATGAAAGTATAAATAATATATCAATTGTTGGTACCTGAATAAAGCTCAGTTTCATCTGAGCTGAGTGAGAAAACAAGCATACACTCGGGTCATATGGCATGCACAGCTTAACAAAGAATGACACCACTGCTCTGGTAAAATAAAATAAAAAAACATCTTAAAGCACAGTTGTCTACGAACTTGGCCATAGCCACAGAATCTTCCTCTTCCACAAGCACTGTTCATTACTTAAGAAATATTGGAACTGCATTGCATTCAGTTCTAAAATCATTTTTCCTGGACACACCATATGTTATCCCATATAAGCTGTCTCTGCTATGAACAGAAAATGATTACTGCCACCAATTTTGATAGATTTTTTCTGATTATTGAGCACTTTCAGAAAAATATCACTGGAAACAGCCATAAACATGTACTTGCTCAATCATTTTATTTTCTCCTGATCCAGTGTCAACAAATTGGAACAGGTTGACCTAGCAACTAGAAAAAATGCAGTTGTCTCAGAGAAAATAAAATAGGCCAAAACAAAACACCCAAAAATCTTTTCTGAATAAATCCCATGGACAGCAATACCAAACACCAGTAACACGGAAAATGATTTTAACACTGGTCCCATACACCCAATCAGTGAAAAAACATGCATACCCCTGAGAAACCAAGCCTCAGCACTCAATACTCATTTAGCAACAAGCAGCACGACAAATGTCCTTCCAGATCTATTAAACAGACAAACATTTTTTTTTTACAGCACTCCTTTGGCTTAAAAAAGGCATGTAATAAAGATTTAACTTTGTCAACAATAATGAATATTCAGGAGAAAACTAAATAACACACAACTAGCTATGTCATCGCAAAATGCTACCAATACTGGTCAATGGGCAGATATTTTTTTTTAAAGACATCTAAAACACAAAAAGGAAGTGAACTAAAACCAAGCACACACAGTATCAAATTTCATGCACAGACTACAAAAGGGGCGGTAAATTAGTCCAAAGTGGATGGTAGGCAAAAGTGATTTTTTAAAAATACATCTGAATATTTTGACAAGATCTGAATTATGACAACATACACTTTGATTTCTGGCGTTAAAAGTGGCAAAGTGATTAAGGCAGTGAGTAAGGCACTTTTCCTCCCCGCCCCCCCCAAATCTTTTTGATAATCCCCCAAAAGACCACAAAGAAGGCACATACATTCAAAAGGGTTTCGATATACAGAGAATTAAAGTGAGATATCTGACTGATATCACACAAGATTCAAAACGCATATCTTCTTCTTGTACCCCTGCTAGAGCTAAAGGAACAACTTACAGTAAGATCTTCACCTTACAGAACAGTTTGCTTTTATACACAAGGCTGTTTTATTACCACAGAAAGTAAAAATCATCCCTTGCCTGACAGGCAGCCATGTGCTGTTTTCAAGGGAAAACATAAATATTCATACTAATTAGAGTGGCTTCAGTTTTGGGTAAGAATTTATTTTGAATTTTGTACACACAGCAGCCAAGAGGATCTACTCTTTTCCTTTTCAGTAGCGCCAAACGATCTTAAATATGCTAAACTTTAACACAAGATCTCTAAAATCTTTCTTCTTTATAAGAAAGGACTACGTATTTGATCATACCTACCCTAGAATCAGTGGTGTAGAAAACAAGAGATTTATAAAACCTGATACTGGTGGGTATCTCCAGGTTGACAGGTGAACACCATACCCGTTGAGCTCATGAACCCCCATCAAATCTCACATAATTTTCAAATTTATGAAGGAAAAGTTAGTAATTGCAAGAAATAAATTAACTATTTTGCTCCTTGGGCTAGATTGGCACATCCATAGGCAGGGTAGGAGTGGTCCATCTAAAGTTGGTCTTGCTATTGTTTTAATTTATGGATAAATAGGGCATTCTCACAGGAAAAGGAACATGGTTCAAAGTAAGTCACAGAAGCCGTTTCTTAACGTCAGAAAATTATAGTAAGCATCATAAAAGGGAGGGAGGCGGCGACAAGAAACGAATGGCAGGAATTGTGAAGGACCAGACAACATCAAGAGGTGACTGAGGTTCTGTCTGGGCAGCACCTACTTGTCAGGAACACCAAACAGCTGGTGCTGTCGGATGTAGTCAATCACAGTATCTTGTACAACATATTTCACACTATCTCCACGCCGTAATGCTCGTCTGAAAAAAAATATATACAAATGGTAACATAACATTTATCACACAGAAAGTAATTTTGACTGCCTTCAATGCCCTAACAGAATATACAGTTGAAAGAAAGAGAAAACATTCCAGGAAGAACAACAAAATTCAGAGCAAACAGTGTTAGAAACCTCAAACTTCAACATATGAGTTACAAAACTAAAATTTATGCATTACATTAATGCAAGAATGGTGCTGGTGATTGTAACATTCATTAATATTGCTAAAAAATATTTTAAAAATCTCCACGTATCAGCTGTGACCAGGAAGATATTAACGCAGCAGGTGTGAGAAAGGTTATAAATACAAAAAGAACAATATTCTTCCCAGTAAATGACTGACCACTAGGAAAACGCCACTACGTTTCGTCTAACACAAAAATGCGCTTTGATAAAAACAATGGTAAGAATATTTTTTCCTCACCTGACTTTTGTTGAGCTAATATCATTGTATATCCATTCTGTGACAATATATATATTTTCCTGAAAAGAGAAAGTAAGTTTTATTTTAATTTTATCTCACACACACAAATGAAGTACTGAATTTTCAGCAAGTGATCAAAAAAAAAAAGTCTAGAACAATAAAAGTTTTAGATCTTGCTTTGCTACCCATAAGGATGAAAGGAATAGAGAGGAAAAGTAAATTCTCTCAACTATAAGTCTGCCAGAGTGGCTTTCTCAGGTTTGCCAGCTCGTTCAAAACCCAACTTTGTAATTTAACTTCAGAGCGAGACTGTTTGGGTGTTTATGATAAGGCTGTCAAACTTACGATTGCCGAATCTGGGACAGTCCCAGGAAGTTCAGAAAGGAGTGTGTGTCCACTGACAAGATTTTGGCTGGTACGAAGGATGGATTAGGACATTACAGTGGTTTTATAAATCTTTTCGTCTAAGTTTCAGACAGGCAAAAATCAAGCAAGAGAAATTGATCAAATATGTTTTTTGGGTGAGGACATTGACAATGCAAGGACTGCTTTTCTTTTAATTATTTATTCCCATATGCAACCTCCTATTATCCCCCTAAATCAGTCACTGCGCCCAAAAGCAGAACTTTTGATTCCCCTTCAAGCTAGTTTTGACTGCAAAGGTATCATTTCAAAGGCAGGCAACGCTCAATGTTCTGCACTCCGATACCTTACATTCAGATTCAAGAGACAGTTGGGAGTAAATTCATGTGTCCTTTATCAATCACTGAATGATCTCATGCTGTTTCATACTGCTTAATTTAGAAATTTAGAGATATACTACACTGCATCATACAATGGTACTTATCATAATCAAATGGTTCTTGTATAGTTAGTATTTTTACTACCCACCTGATATTTTGTCAGGACGTCAGACTCATAAATAAATTTGTGCGGGTCTGAGCCGGAACGTGTGATCACCACCAAACCATGCTGGCCCACTATGTAATCAATCTGTGGAGGAAGGCAAAAAATAAGAAAATAAAACATTATCTACGTCACTAAGATTTAAAAGGTCCAAAAGTGTTACATCTTCAAGATACCAATCTGAGAAAATGAATGACCCCTTTGCAATGTTTTGGGAAAAAGAAACTTGGACCACACTAACACCCCCTCCCCCACCCTTCCAAAAAATCATGATTCTTGCATTTACAAAACCCCTTGCCACTGCAGAACAGGAGATGAAGTTCCATGAAATACTGTTTACTCTATATAGCAGTATGCAGAAAACACATGGGACTCATGTGAGCTCACATAAGGTAAGTAGGCCATGAGCTGTTTTGACACAGCTTCCTATTTTGTACTCAATAAGCAGAATAACAAAAAATTCTCAGCCTTTTCTCAAACACACACATGAGAAGAAAGTGTAACACTGAATATGCTACTGCACTGTCAAGAATTACCAACAACAACATATAAAGAAACCCTCTCTCAACCCCTCCTCAAATAAATACACTCCCTCCCCTCCTTCTGCAAGCACACAGAAACAACCATAACAAAATGTAAAAATAAAAGTTGCTGTGACATCCTTGCTGTGCGCCAGTACTCACATCCTCCTCCTGCCACAGTCCCGGTACAGCAAAAGACTCCAGCAGGTCGGCCCCACATAACAACTTGACACAGGGAGCAGGGTCTCCCTCCACCTCCACCAGGGGCACTTGGTTCTGGGGCAGGTCCGACACTGATCAAACACACACACAAAACGTGTTTGTTTTGGGGTTGTTGGTTGTTTTTTGTTTTTTTGTTTGTTTGGTTGTTTTTTTGTGTGTTTTTTTTTGGATCAGGACAATAGATGTTTGATAGGAAAGAAGAAGAAAACCATACCTGAGCACCCGCCAATGTAAGTGTTTAACAGCGCACTCAACTGCATAAGGTCATATGAGCACGCGGGACACATTAAACATTTTTAGTTTTTTGTTTAGTTTAGTATGGGGTTTTACTGCACTTGCAACTGCATAAGGTCATAATTTTTAGTTTGGTAGGAATCAATTTTGAATTTTGCCTAGGTGGCGGCCAAAGCCTACTCTTGTCAATTTTGGACCATCAAGGGATTTTTAATGTGTGCAACTTGCACATAAGACCTCTAAGATTTTTCGCTCTTATCCGAGAAGGTTTGATGTTAGATCTTACCTACCCTAAGATCAGGGGTGTGGTTGAAAGACAGCAGTAAGAAGGAGCCAAGGAGTAGCAGTAGGAGGCGGCAAAAAGAGTCAGGAGCCCTGAGGAGGGTACAGGGAGGGGGGGGGGGGGGGGAGAAGGGAGGGAGCAGAAAGTGGAGATGAAAGCAGACAACATAAAATGGTTAAGGAGCAGGAAAGGAAGTATAAGGAGAAAATATTAGAGAAGAAAATGTCCGTCACTGTCCGGTTTCGAACCCAGGACTTATTGGATGAGAGGCAGACACTGTAACCTCTAGACCACGAGAGCCCCCCACATGTTTGCTTGTGTGAGTTTAAGTAAACAGGAATAAAGTAACGTAATAACTGTCATTTACAGAAAGGAAAACAGAGGTGAACAACAGAGGGAAAGAAATGATGCAGGACCCACCAACCACCCACCTCTTAGTTTGAATAACAAAGTGGTTGAGTCATAGTTTCAGCTGACGTAGTACAACAGCTGTCATATGATATTTAGCCAAGAAAATACTAGGGCAGAGTAAACACTGCAAAGATGTACAAAGAACAGATAATACCTGCATCTTCACCAAGTGCTAGTTTGAAACAAAGAGGGGTCTACAAAATGACTAGCTGGTACTGTCAGGAAAATCAAGACAGCTGCCTGATGTCTCTGGACACAATAAAGAAGAAGCATCTATATGAAAAGACTTTCAGCTATCAACTATTCTACAGACTAGAAGAATCAAGAAGACAGGAGGAAGGGATGGACGATTACATCATGTTCTTCGATTAGTAAGAGTTTTATGGCACTTGCAACACAAGAAGGCCATATAAATGCCGGAAGATTAGAGGTGTTACAAGAGAGTAGCAAATACAAAAAAGAAGGAGAAGAGATAAGGACGATGGAGGTTTGATAGGAAAGAAGGAGCAAACCATACCAGAGCACACGCCAACCACCCGCTGCATCAGGTCTGCTATAATTGTCCACTGTGATGAGTTCATCAGACAAAGAAAGTGTGCCTGCAATATCAAGTAGGGCCTACAGGTCTTGGGTACTCTAATGACTATTTGTGTGGCAACTGCCACTTTTTTCTAAATGTCTTGAGTGCCATGAATTAACAATAACTTTGAAAAAATAAACATCATTGGCATGCTGTGTTCATGTTCATGAAGCAGACTACGTTTCATTAACAAAATACAAAAGAGGACAATACATCAATATAATGAGCAGAGAAACAAGGGATTCCACAATATGACAGGCATGAACACGACTTTAAAAAAGTGTTAGTAATGTTTTACTGCGCTCGCAACTGCGTCAGGTCATATGAGCGCCAAGGGGTGGGTGTTAACAGAGAAGGCCAAACGGGGAATCAGGCTTACTCTGCTCACCTCTCTAGCCTCAACAGCCCAAAGTCTGCTTCGACTATCAAGGCACCCCGGAAATAGCAGTTCACAAGAGAGTAACAAACTTCCAAAATAAGTAGAGGATAAATGAGGACAGTACGGATAAGAAAAGAAAGAAAAAGCAGCAGTTCCCCCATGTTGTTCTGGCACAGTATGAGCAAGACATTGATAAATCAGCCCATTTATTTTACTGTGCATAAGAACATGTTAATATCCCCCCTCCTTTGAGAATAGCCTAAAGATTTACATGACAAACCAAAACCGTGTACTTTGTACAAGTGCATTGGTGCCGAATCCAAGCACAACAGAAACTACCATAGAGTAGAGAGATAAACAAAAACTAGCAGTTTTTATTAATGCGTAGAGTCAGCTGGAAAGTAAATTGAGCAACAATTCACAACGAAGAGAAAAATAACACTGAAAAAAGTATAAAAAGCCTACCTCATCACCACCAAATAAAACAAAAGAATCGAAAGTGCAATGAACGAATAAGAGCAAAACTGAAACATAAAAATGACGGGTGTATAAGCCTTTCCGAAATGAACTGAAAAGGCATAGTAAGAGTATAAAATATCCTGTTTAAGTACAACTGAAAACACAATTCACCAACATGGGAACAACAACCTACTGGTAGTAAACACAGTCATGACGCAAAAACAAAAACCAAAAACAAAAACAAAAAAAGGAAAACGCCCCAAATATAAAAACTGTAACAGCTGAGTTCTAAATACTAAAACACGCCTGACGTCCTCCATTGTCATTTATATTCATATCACGACAAAAGCTTAATTATTTTGAGATAATATATTCAAGTTTACTTAATGATCTATTGGGTCAGTGTGTTTCTCTTTCACGCAAGCATAATTACAACCACACACGCGCGCAGGTGTTCTGAGAGATGAGCGTAGTATGAGCACAAATACACGGACAGAACCCGTGGTCTACCCTCTGAACTGACAATGAAATGTATCATCTGTTCACGCTGCGCGGCAGGCGCCTTGGGCATCACCGGACACATTATTGTGGCTGCATAAAGATTGGTGTATATGGGGGAGGGGGGGAGGTTGTAAGAGTTTTACGGCACTTGCAACACAATAAGGTCATATAAGATTGGTGTTTTTGGTGCTAAGCCGACTTTCTCTTGATGCTCTTGGGGATAACAATGTTATTTGTAGAAAGCGTTTTACGGCTCTTGCATCTCAATAAAGCAATTTAAAGATCGAAGATTTGAGGCGCGACACGAGAGTAACAAAGACAAAAAAGATGGAAGAAAGATAAGAACAACAGGTGTTTGGTAGGAAAGAAGGCGCAAACAAGACCAGAGCACCCACCAACCACCCACGAATGATAATGTGTGTCATGTCCAAGGCACTCGCCACGTAATATAAACACATAATGCAGTTAGTTGTCACAGCTTAGTGTAGATCACTGATTCTTTTCGTGTATTTGTGCCCAATGCAATCGGCATTTCCAAGCACACTCATGAGTGTGTCTGATTGTTTGTTTGAGTGAAGAGAAACACATCAATATAATAACGACCATTGAGTGTAGAGGAAAAGAAAGGCGGACTGCAACAACCCGAGTCAGTGTGTGAATGTGCGGTTGTGCCAGTCTAACATTACGAACGCCTGTATTGTTACTTCAACTGCACACTTACGGCTCCATAAAAGGCTTCTCACGAGGATCAATAGCTTTTACTTTTACCTATTTTTCATCAAACTAAATCAGCTTCAAGCATCATCACCACTGGGCATGCAATATAAAACAAATACCGCATAAGCATTGGTGTCTTCAGAGCAAAAGTTAAGGTCTTCGCCGAGCCCTAAAAATCTGAGGACGAGAGACGGACTCTCACATAAGGACGACAACTTCGTCAAATACATCAGTATATCTGCGGCGACCGAACGACACGTACGTCACAAACATACGTCGGCCCTTATGCCAACTTTTTTTAAACGAAAAGAAATAGGTCTACCCACGCTTCAGGCCAAGATGATGACCCCGCCCCCTCCCCGTCCGTCACACACACACACACACACACACACACACACACACACACACACACTTTTCTGCATGGAATACATCCAAGCTAGCTTATTAAAATATAAACAGGAGACCAGCAACGATAGACCTAAAAGGTAAATGGTAAGGGACACGAAAGTCTTGAAAGTCCCATCATTTTTCTTCAGCATCGGCAAGATTGCGATGAGGAATACTAGAAAACAGAGAATACGTACCTTTCGACACAATAACGGACTTCTGTACTTAGAAACCTTTTAATTACGTGTTTTATTATGCACTACTGACAGCTATGTAAATTTCTGCTGGGAACGTAAAACATTTGAATTTAAAACATAAATGACACCGTGAACAATGCAAGGAATAAAGCCTACCACCAATAATCGCACTGCATCGAAACAGCTGGTGTGGCAAAATATCACAGTTTCCTCCTCCCAGCGTAAGAGCCCGTGACTCGCGCAAGAGCCGAAACATTCAGCAATAACCCAACAAGACCAACGCAAGGAAGAGAAAACGTGAGTCAAACAAAAGCCCCGCAGAAAATACCAGTGACGGCCTCCAAAGTGTTGGCAAGGTCGTTGGCCTCCTCAGAGCCGTGGTAGTCGGTGTTTTCTGAAGGGAATGAACCAATGGGAGTTACAGAGAGGCAGACACGTCTGCCCGATAACGGCCATTTCCTACTAAGGAGAGGAGGGGAGAAATAAATAGGCAGAAACAACACAGTAAGGTCATCGAACCAACCACTGAAAAACAAAACAAAACAAAAAGAACAAAATGAAAAAAAAAATTCCCAATCCCCCAGTTACGTGCCACTCAAAGAAAAGGAACAATGGAAACATAACGTGGAATGTAGTAACAGTGAATCGCAAAACAAAGGTCACATTTCACCAGGACGTATATAAGACAAATAACAACGGAAGCACCGAAAAGAAGTACAATGTACATGTATGTAGTTGAGTTTTAGTTTTGGTGGAAGTTTTACGACACTTAATTGTAACACAAATAGGTCACATAGATCTCAGTGTCAAAGATAAATGGCGTTACTAAAGAGTCACGTACCCCCC